TTTTTAAATCAAATTTGGAGTAAAATTTACCTAGGAGATTAAATCTAGCATGTCGTCTAGTCAAGGAATAGAAAATTTATACTTCATAGTAATTTTATTCATAGCCTAAATATCAACCCACATTCTTCATGCTTCATCTTTCATGGCAGATACTAAAGCCAAAATAACATATGAACTAAGGTTTTCTTGTACAAAATTTTTCATAAGTATTTGCTGAATTTGTCTCTTAATTTTAATGTATTCAATGAGATTCATTCTGTAAAGATGAAGGTTGGAAAGTTGGGTGTTGGATGAATCTAAGAAGGTGAAATTTATCAAAAAAGTTATTTAGGTGTAATATCGCTATACTTAGAAAAGAATGGGGAAACACGCCCAATATATGAGTTTCGTTATTGTCTGAGTTCACTTATTTTGCAAGTAGAGCTAAAGAATACTTGGATCAAAAAATATTTTTTCAATCCTATAGTTTTTAACTTTTTATTGGAGATGTCACATAAATGGGAAATAATGGTGCTTGAATTAGGATCAAATTTGATAAAAGCTTTTATCCTACTATGTGTTGTGCCTTGTTAAAAGTTAAATTCTCATTTAAATCTAATAAAGAAAGATCATTTCTAATCTTTTCTAACCAAGTCTTTTTAGGTCTACCTCTACCCTTCTTAACATAAGTCAAATCTAATGCATCCCCTTTCCTAACTGGGTAATCGGAAGACCATCGTTTTATATGAAGGATAGAGCGAAGGAAGATGGTGGATGGGGGTTTCTTTCAACAACGACCTCGGCGGCAAGAGAGGACGCTCAGTGGAACTGGCAGTGAAAGGAGAGGAGTTCGAGTATAGTGAGCAAGGAAGTAACTCGCGAGGACAGAGAGTTGGCTGCATAAGCAGCGAGTTCAAAGTAACACAAAAGTTGATTGACGTGCTCTTACAAGTATGGGATTGGCGTTACATGCGTGATTCTAAGAGAAATCCATAGAGCAAGATGATCAAATACAAGACGGAGGCATATGCGTGAAAATGCAGGTAGGGCTCATTTTTTCTTACGATTTTTTTTTTCAATTGAGCCAAACAAGGAGGTCTCGACAAGTCCTTCACGCGGTAATGGAAAAGCCAAGCTGGCAGGATTTCAGGAAAATGTATGAGGATAAGCATTTGATTTGATTTCTTTATTTTGATTTTTTATTTTTCAAATTAAAGGAGACAATTAATAAGGTGTATAGACCCCTCGCACAAATTCCTCATTCCTCATGCATGAATAATATTTTATCATCATGTCGGGCCAAATTTTACATTTCACCTGCATGTTGCAAACAAGGTAACAGTGCCTACTCTAAATATTTTCAACATTCACGTCGGTGTAGTCCATTTTGCAAACAAAAAATTTTGTAGTGACTTTTGTGCAATATTGCATCTATTGTTTTGACGTTGTCATCATGTCCGATCAAAGTTTTTGTGTGGTAAATAATGCAATAAAGGTGCCTCCTCTAGGATTGTGCCAGCCCAAAATTTATTTTGCAAACAGGTGATATTTGAGTGACCTTTGCATAATGTCACATCCATTGTTTCAACGTTTTTGCTGTGTCTAATTGAAGCATGCACAAATAATTGTTTCCTGATAAGTTTGATGCCCCAAATGCATTGGCGTGACTTGTTTTGTGAACATGAGACTTTTGAATGACTTTGCATGAAGTTACATTAATTTGTCATCATTCTCATCATATTTGATCGTGTTGAATGTGAGATATATACATAAGTCAACATCCCCTCCCCTCCCCCCCACCCCCCCGCCCCTTCTCCCCTCTCTATTCCTCATTTTCAGTCTGTGATAGTTGCAAGTGGAAGAAAAGAATGATGTAGGTTGTGGTAGTGAATTGTTTCCATTCAATGGGTGATTGGAGAACTTCAAGGGCGTTGTAGTGTTGGAAAGAAATGCCAAGGGAAGCTGCAGTTACGTTGGATGGTGAAGTTTGCCAAAGCGTGATGGTGGAAGGAGTTCCAGATAAAGGAATGCAAGTGATTCAGTTGCTGCTTGTGAACCAATCATAGTGGAAGAACTCTCCGAATGGCAAAGAATCACAGGAACATTAACCAATCAAGGTGGAAAGCTAAGTGCAAGATCCAAGAACTCAAATCTTGGTAAGATAAGGTTAATCAAGGTGGAGAAACATTGATTTCATCAAGTGTTCCTATTAATAATGTCACAAAGGTATTCTCCATTCATCTCTTATTATTTTAACAATCTGTAGCAAGTTGAATATGAACGAAACATCTTTGGTTCATAGAAATAGAATTAATATCTACCAATAAAACATTTTAGGGATGTGGAAGTAGTGCATCTCAAATTCATGTGATTAAAAATAGACTTAAATAAAACATTAATATAATTCTCATTATCTCTGATGAAATTGCAAAGTTTTCCCACATGCTTAAAATCTTCTTCAATCACTCACACTGAAATTATCTATTATGCAACTGATAAAATTCAAAGAATTTTCAATCAAAACATCCTCAAAATCAATCTCCCCATCATTCTCATTGGTTTCAATAATCCTCATTCATATTGATTTGCAAATTCCTACTATGACATTCATTAACATGACCAATTTAATAACAATTTAAAAAACATATTTTGGCAGAAATTTTGGATCCATCTGTAGAGAACTTCCATTTTTTGTACTTAAATAGTGGTGTTGGGAAGCTTAAAAAAAGGACTACATTAGACTATTTGTAAGAAAAAGACTCCAAATATGTAACAACGCTTTAGACACATAAATCTTTAAATTTTTTTTAAAATCCAATGCAAGTTAAAGAACATGTGATAGAAGTTCATGTGATGTCACACGCTCTTGATATTAGGTCTCAAAAAAGATCAAAATCTACATAAGAAGCATTTAAAATCCTTAATGACGTCATAATGCAACAACAAATCCAAATTTTTATTCATATATTTAGTCATTGTTTTAATCACTTAGTTTTAAATAGCTAAACTAATCAAATAAACAATCTAAAAAATATTCTCTTTTAAGATTTTTCATTTCAATCTAAATGATGGTGTGGTTATATTATCTTAATTAAAAGCAAACTCAAATGTGTGACGATATCACTCAAATTAAGCTTGAAAAATAATCCAGTTCATCATGCACGTAAGCTTGAAGCATAATCCAGCCGTGTTAATTTGTTAAGTTACAATGATGTTATACCCCACTTCTGAGTGATATTATGATAAAACTTAAAACTTTGATGCCAATTTATTGCAAAACATCATAGGACATACGGTTCCTAATATTCATAAATGTTCATCCACATTAGAAATCTGAAACAAACATAATTCAATTCAATGATCGATTAAATAAAAATATTTAACAAGAATTTGAAAGCATTAAACTCAATGAGCCAACAGAAAGTTTGCACTACAATTGAAGCTATTGATGATAAATTTTTTTAAAATCAAGAACACTAGCAAAACCAAAACAAAAGTATCAAAAGTAAAAAAGATTAAGGAGAAGAATTTGCCAAGTAGAAGAAAATCTATGCAACACGTGAGTGCAGGAAGAAAGCTTCTCTTGAAACTTGCATATTGCACTTGACTATGCAAGAAGAAAACCATCCAATAGCCACCCATAAGCAATGTTTAAAATTGCGTATTCGGGTATTGAGGCGTTTTTCATTCGTGAGGCGAGGCGTAAGCCTCAAAATAAAAAAATTGCGTAAATAATGATAAATTTTTTATATACTAATTAGTGAATAATATAAAACATAAGATATGAAGTAAAATCAAAATATCTCAATAATAAGACAACATGAAATATAGTTCAACTCAAAATTCTATCTTTCCCAAATCCCAGTATTTTTTTCATTAACATATAATTCCAATTTCCAAAAATAAATAGCAATGACATATCACATAAGAACTCATAAGTCAACACTGTCATCACTAAGGGGTTCTTCATTTGAATCATCATTATGGCGAACTGTTTTCTCCCCTTCTTCATTTCCTATAGAGTCCAATGTCGGGCATTTACTTCAAGATTTATGTAAGTTTTAATATATATAGCGTGAGGCGTAAGCCTCATACCAGTGAGGCAAGGCGGGCCTCAAGGCGGGCCTCAACAAAGTTGAGGCGCAAGCCTCATAAAAAAACTCGAGGCGTAAGCATCGAGACGTTTTTTACTGGAATTGCGCAAAGGCGGGCCTCAAGGCGAGCCTCATATTGCGCAATTTTAAACCATGCCCATAAGATTGAGAAAGAAATTATGAAATTTTCTTTAGCCAAAATTTCCATGCCTCAAATTGATCTATTTATAGTAGCATCGTAATGCTACCTAGATAAGTCTCTGGAACTCCTTCCAGATTCATGTCATATGCTAAATAATCGTACGCAAAAATTTTGAATCAGTCCAGCGATGGTATATACTCTCTCTATCGGCTAAAATACAGAAGGTCATGTAATGCCAAAATAATCCAAGTGAATAAACATAGGTGGCAGAGGAAATAGCGCAAAAAGTGTATGCAATACTCCGCAAACCATGTGATCAAGAAAGTAAACAAAACCCAAATAATTTAGTATTAAATCACACCATCCAAATAAAAGTTGAAAACAGCAGTTAATTGAACCAAAGAAAATTCCAGAGAAAGCATCATCCCGACTAAATCAAAGCGAATTAAGAAATCAAAACAATAGAGAATGTATCTCATTCTCATAGGCCACATCATGCCAGGTATGCTTCTCAAATAACTAAAATTGAAAATAATAAATAAACCACGAAATTTAAAAAAAAAACTAAAAAAAAATTAAATCATTTATACTAAACATCTCCGAGGAGTGTAAACTTATAGATCTCCATCAAACAGATAAACTCCACCCTTCGGACTGTCGAAAAAATTAAATATGAACCAAACACAAGTGCAGATGTTGAGATACGGTACTCCACGTGGTCAAAAATTAGAAAAACAGTTTATTTATGATAAAGAATAATAATACAGCAATTTTGTCACACGTACATGTTCCACCAAATAGAGGACTCATCTTCCTTCCATAAAACAGCCGCAAATGATGCAAATGATGAATAGTCCTTCGCAGCTTGACGTAGGAATGGAACAGCACGTTCTCCGGTTTTTGAGAAGATAATAACCTTTACCTGTTGTTTTAATTAAACAAGAAACATAAAGCTAAGTGGTTATAGAAGAAGAGATTATAAATAACTCAGAGATCATTAATATCGTAACTCTTAAACCAAAACCACAGAGGCAAAATAGAACAAACCTATCAAGATAAATATTTTGAAATTCGAGCACCAAATCAGTAACATTCTATAAAAGTAGATAGATGAGTAACTAACAAGAAAACAAGACATTTAAATAAATATAACATAAAACTAGGAAATTCTTTGACGCAGAAAGTTTAATTGTAGATTCATAATCTCGTGGATTGTCCTACGAGAAATTATATGACTACACAATGATTATCAGGCAATTCTAAAATAATATAGATACTATCTATAATACCCAAAGTTTGTTAAAAGTAAGTAGGAATATTTCTCAATAAAATCATCCATTATTTTTTTTTTTTCATATATGGAAAATGTCAAATTATTTTATTAGCTTTTAATTTTAATTTTGATCCTTATAGTATAATTATCTGTATTCATGTAAAAGGCATGTTATCAATTAAATGAGTTTGTTCTGAACACTTAATTAAAAGTATTCGCTGTAATAATACTTAGCATTAATTTAAATAAATGATATAATTGCTAAAGCAAATAATCCATTTTCCTATTTACGGTTAATGTAGCATATCCACTTAGCTTGACATGCAATGGCTGATCTCTCTCATACTTCATCCAACGGATAGCATTAATGTATAGTGGCTTAGTGGAATTAATTATATAATATTATAATAAAGAATGTATTTTTAGTGGAATGGTTATATTATTATATTAGCAACACCTGTAGCCATTCTTTCATTTTATTTTTCCTTCCCATTCAAGAGATGAAGCTCTGCAACCGTGGGAGAACTGGAGTTGAAAGAGGCGGGTTGTGTGTGGGAATTTCAAGCTTGGTAGCTGATTTATCGTGTAATGAAATTGAGGTAGGAGTTTTAAGCTTTCAAAAATCTAAGATAGCAATTTCTGTAATCTTTGTGTTGAATTACAATTTTGAAATTTCTAAAATATAGCTGAAGGTGGTGGTTACTTAATTCAAAAATATGGAGAAATGAACTGGTACAATAGTGACCAAAATTTGGAAAAGGTGTTGTGTTGAATGAGGAAGTTAGTGAGGGTTGTTTACAAAAGGAAAAGGAGAAAGAATCGGGATACCAAGGTGAGATACCCAAACAAGGTTATAAGAATTAACAAATGTTTTATTGTCGCACTCCATCTTCATTATGTTTATGATCACATGTATTCTAGTTTATTTTGATTATTTGAATGAATATGATTGTTTATGTATGAATTTGTTTATGTAAAGAATAATCTTTAGCAATGTAAATGATTTAGTAAGCATAGAAGGGTAAATATTCCTAAAGCGCACATAAAGGGTACCTAAAGTGCACATAAAGGGCACCTAAAGGGCACCTAAAGCGCACGTAAAGGACACCTAAAGGGCACCTAAAGCGCACCTAAAGGGCAACTGAAGGGCAGTTAAAGGGCACCTAAAGGGAAGCTAAAGGGTAACTGAAGAGCAGCTAAAGCGCAACTATATCATCAAAAGCATATGTCACTAGCTCTAAAAAGGATGACTATATGAAAAGTGAAATAAGTTATATATGGGGGATAGGCCGCACAAGTAAAGGCGAAAGACCTGATGAGGTAAGCCTACATTCTTAATTCTAGAAGTTGAGAAATTTGACTCAACCCTGAATGGGAGAACAACTTTCATTCTAAAAGTTGGGAAATTAGACCCAACCTTGAATTGGAAAGTTGAATGGTGCAAAAGCTTATAGTCATTCTATAACTTATTTAAAGATGTGGAATAGTTTTGGAAAAATAAATAATACTACTAGGCACTTTCAGGGTCAATATGACATTTCAATATGTGTTTTAATTATGTTAGCATAGTTATGGTATTTCTTAATGGTTCATTATTATTTCTTATAACTTGCTTGCGTATTTCATTGAGCCAAGCTCATTAGCAGTGGTTGTACTGCAGGAAAGGGGAAGTAGCCCTTGGGACAATAAAAAGAGGTGACCGTTCTTTTAATGTAAGTACGTTTTGGGGTGCAAGATATCTAAAGCGAGATCTGAATGCTAGGTGTAAAGACTTTTGGGTATGTGAATGAATTTTAAAAGTTTTAGTAGAGCTCTGTATTTGTTTTAATTATGTTGAGATTCAATAAGGTATATTACATGCTTCCTGTTGTTAAGTGTGGAGTTTGATACGTTGAAATCGTTCTCTGTTATACTCCAGTTCGTGGTAGAGGCTGAGTCAAACTGGGGTGTGACACTATCTATATGTTGAAGAACAACATTACAAAATGCTCACTTTCCCTTAAAGAATCAAACTAGAAGATCCAATCAGCCAGCGACAAAATTATAAGAAGAGTTGATGCAGTACAAGAAATGTATACAATTTATTTCATTAATTTTAAATTATCATAATATTTTAAAATTATTTCAAGGACTTTGTTTTAGTTTTAAATGTATTTAATTTTATGCTTATCTTTATTTTAAATTAGATGATAGGATAGCATTATTTCCATAAGTTGGTAATGTTTGCAATTGAATTACCAATAATTGTAGAATGACTCGAGGTGTAACGTTTCTAATTCAAATTTCATATGACATAATGAATAATGCAGAAAAGAACAAAAAATTTAACAAATCACAAACACTTAACCTTAAATAGTTAATCATTACTTTGGATGGAAGCAACAAAAATTAAGAAAAACAATTTAGATAAAAGGGCAAACACCTACTAGAAATAATGAATCAAAAAACAAAACAAATAAAGCCATACAGTGAGCTGAAATTTGCATATTTATTTGATGGAGGATGTTATATCTTGAACGGGTTTGAAATATTTTTTATCGAGTTTAGTATATAAAATAATGCATTATCCTGATGGACAAAAATATTATTTTGTTATGAACTCCATAATAAAATGAATTTTTTTAATTTTTGTATGTGAGAGATTTCCACCTATAAAATATAATTAATTGAATTGAGTTTATTTTTATTCTAGAGTACAGATTCCCTATAAAATCAAACCCCTAGGTTAATTAAATGCCAAAGATATTTGGCTCTTTAAAAAACTTTTGACTAAAATAGTGGTTTACATTTGTTTATCAAAATAATAACTAACATTTTATATTATTTTAATAAATTCATTTCAAAGATTTAATCTTTAGAATTTACAAAATGTTTGCATCAAATTAAAATTCATTTTTAACAGTGTCGTTGTCGTGTCCCAAGTCCTAGATGAGAAAAATGAATGATTGTGTTATGTAGTCAACAGTCAACGTTAAACTTGTTGAATAATCATGACATGAATCCTTTAATACATTGTCTTAATGCTAAGGCATTCCTTAGAAGTGGCGCGTTATATGGCTTGAATAAAACGAGAAATGTGCAAGGGGCACCAGCGCTCAAGTGCAGTAATAAATAGTCCGTGAAACTAAAATTATGATATGAACTTAGATAAATTAATAAAATTAATAGATATTTTGATTCATAAAAAGATAAATATTCTATGCATTCAAGAAATTAAATAGGTTGGAGAGAAGGATAAGGAGATTGAAAGTTTAGGATTTAAACTATGGTATTATGGTAAGAGTCGTAATAGATATTGTGTAGATGTGATTATAAATAAGAGTTTGAAGGATAAAATTATAAAATTAATAAAATTGAATATGTAATTATAGCTTTAAATATTGTTGTTAATGCTAAGATTATTAAAATTGTAAGTGCTTATGCTCAAATAAGTTTGGATTTGTCTTCAAAATTGAAGTATTTAGAATGACTTAGAAGAATTAATATAAAAGATACATCTTAAATAAATAAAAAATTATTGGAGGAGATTTAATGAACATGTTGGTAGAAATATAGATGATTTTAAAAACATTGATGGTGACTATGAATTTGGAGCAACTAATGAAGGTGGTAAGACCATATTAGATTTGACTATAGCTTATAATTTTGTAATTATTAATACCTTATTTAAAAAGGAGATAAACATCTCATTACTTATAAAAATGGATATAGTTAAACTCAAATTAATTATTTTTTATAAGAAAATAGACCATTTAGATTGCAAACATTGTAAAATTATTTAGAATAAAAGTTTGTATCTAACATCGCTTATTAGTTTTGGAATTTAAGATTAAGGATCAAAATATAAAAATAAAGTAAAATGTTATTCTAGGATTAAATGAGAGCATTTAGAAAATACTAACAAAATTATTTTTGAGAATAAGATTTTAAATCTTAAGATTTTTTCTGTACATGAGCAAGCTAATATTATGTAAGAAAATGTAGCTAGTGATATTCAGAATCTTGCAAACGATATGCTTGGAATATCAAAAGTAAAAGTTCCTAATAGTAAAAATAGTTGGTATTGAAATCAAAATGTGAAAAAAAAAGATAAAAAATAAGAAGCTTTGTTATAAAAATTAGTTTAGATCTACAAACTTTGATAAATAGGAAAGATATAAAGAGAACTATAAGAAGTCTAAAAAAGCAATATGCGATGCAAAGATTTTAGCTTTTAATGATTTATACAATAGATTAGATGCTAAGTAGGGCGAAAGATATATGTATAAGTTAGTCAAATAAATAGATAGTAAAAAGAATTTACTTCAAGTGAAGTGCATTAAGGATGAAGATATAAAATTGATTTTATTATAAGAGGATATTGATGAGGACATCGGAATTTCAACGGCTATGATCTTGAGTTTATTTTATTTTTGATGTGTCTTATGTACTAGTTTATATTATATTTCTATTTTTCCCATTTTAGCCCTAGGGGTGGTCATGTGATGTTGTAGCGCGAAGGGCTTTTTAGTCTTTGTTTCTTTTCTTTTCATGAGGCCTATTTATAGGCCAACTCTTTTGTGTTTTTGGATGATGAATATTGAAAAGAAATTTTAGTTTTCTTTGGTTGATCTCTAACTGAGTTCATGAGAGGAGAGAACCTAGGCGGG